CCGGAGGAGGCGGACGATGAGAGCACCGAGGCGCAGAACTACCTGGAGAGGCCACTGACGGAGGAGGAGGAGGCGAAGGTTGAGCAGTTGATGCAGCTGGGCTTCACCAGGGATCAGTGCAAAGTGGCCTTCTTCAAGGCTAAGCGAAGCTTGGAACGTGCAGCAAACCTGTTGTTTGAGGACCCTCCACAGTTGTAGTGGCGGTCTCACTTTAGTTCCATAATATTTACGTGCATAAATCTGCTTACGATGCGGTCATGTGTCATTGAGACTGCTTTTTTATTTCACGTCATTTTCTTGCTTTTCTTCACCTTTTTTCTCGTGTTTTCCTGCCACTTTTTTGTTCTTGTTGTTTTTACGTATTTGTGTGTGTGCGGTGCCTCGGCTTTGATCTCCTCCCTGCCTTTTTTTCATTCCATCGACCGCGCCGGATGCGGGTGTCTGATAGTAGGGTGGGATCTTTTTCCTTGCTGTTTTTGCTGCTGATTCCTGTGTTGCCATTTTTTATTTTCTTTTTTTTACTGTGAGGCCTGATCCGGTTAAATGGCTGGGAGGGGGGTGGGAGGGGAGGCACAAGCTCCACGTTTCGACGAGAGACTGTGAGTGGAAAGGAAATGAACACCGACAAGAACAAACAGTGTTGCGGATGTACGCTTAAGGGGAGGAAAGGACGAGGGATAAATGACGGCAGTTCTGAGGGAGGAGTACACATGAAATGGAAACAGCACCTTTATTGACGCATTTTTTTAATTATTTTTGTTGTTGTTGTTGTGTGCCTCACCGCGCCCTCCGCTCCCTGTATCCCCGGCAGTTACGCTACGGTACATACAGGCACACACGCAATTGTGGGGGTTATAAAGAAGTATAAAATAAAAAGAAAGTACGGTCTTGCGAGCTATTTATTTTTTCTCATAACTCATTTACTTTTCTTTCTTTATTTTTTGCATTCACGCATGCATGTGCGTGGAGGCTTGTGCGTGTCTATTCCTTTTTTTTTCTTCTTACGTACCGCAAAAAAAAAAAAGGGGGGGAAGGGGAGAAGGGATAACAAAAGGATTAGACAATTGACTTGGATGAGGAAAAGGAGGGAGTAGGAACATTTTTAGCAACAGAATATATGTCGAGTGTCGTTCAAACTATTGCTGCCAGCGTTGGGGGGCGTTTCCTCCTTCTCGGATGCGCAGATGGTCTCAGGGCGTATGATGTCCATTCATTGGGGATCGTGAAAAAAATAATTCCAAGTGCGGGCGAGACGCCAGCAACTCGCGGTTGTCGTGCGGTGGGTGGCCCCGTACGTGTGGTTGCTGTTCTTGGTGAAACCCCGCTGATCGCATTTGTGCTTGAGGGTGGTGTGACGTCCGAGTTGGTTTCCGAAGGGGATTTGGAGGGAGCAGCAGTGAGTGGCAGGTCGACCTCGTCTGTAGCATCGACCTCGCGTGTTCTTTGCCTGTACGATGCGTCCAAGGGTCAGAGAATGGCGGAGTTGCACTTTGAGACTGAAGTAGTAGGAATTCAGATGAACACGAGGCGCCTGGTCGTTGCTCTGGTGGAGTGCATCCACGTCTTTGACCTTTTAACTCTGGAACACCTTGCGGAGTTGCGCACGGCATCCCCGCCAAACCCCAATGGTCTTCTTGTGCTCTCAGAACTGACAACCAACGTCCATGGCGAAGCTGTCAGCTATTTGGCATTCCCGCAGTCGGACCAGGGGTATGGGGATGTGTGGGTGGCCCAAATCACTGAGAAGCCGATGGATCGTGAGGGAGAATGGACGGATGTGGTGAACGCCTCTGGCGGGAAGCGATGCGGTTTTGTTGAGCGCGTTTCTATTGTAAAGGCACATCATCGTGCGGTGGTATGTATGGCAATGACGCGGGACGGCACGAGAATTGCCACAGCCTCGGAGCGAGGTACAACAGTAAAAGTTTTTGAGCCTTCTTCTGCCCGACTGTTGTGCCATTTTCGCCGCGGTGTGAAAGCCGCACGGATGCTTTCTCTCTCATTTGACACATCGTGTGCTTCGTCGGGACTGCGGCTTGCCGCTCTGAGTAACCGGGGTACGCTGCATGTTTTTCGATGTTCTTCCACAGGCGGTAGTGAATTAGTAGTCCATGAGTCATTGCTACCATACACTGGCTCGGAAATGCGGAGCTTTGCTCAGGTGACGGTGGGTAAGGCGTCCACTGCGTCGTGTGCGTCACCGAGTCTTGGTTTGAATTGCAAAATGGGAAACGAATTGCAGTGCTGCTTCTTCTCCCAGAATGGACAATTTTTGTATGTCGTGCTCCCGGCGCCGTGTGTCATGGAGGAGGGCACGGCTCGCATACAGGACGCAGCAGGCAGTGGCACTTCTTTGCTGAGCGAACGGAGGGCAGATGTCGGCGCCCGTTGGATGCTGCAGAAGTACGCCATCCACATGCGCGGGTGTGAACTCGTGAACTCGCACGTGCTGAACTGATTGGGTTTGAAAATGACGTTTGGCCGCAAGGATGCAAAGAGCAGGCCGAGTTGCAAAGGAGACGGAGGAACAACAAGACAGAATAAAGGGATGAAATGCATGAAATAAAGTATCTGCCTTGGGCGTCTTCCTCCTGTAGTTTTGCGGTTGCTTCTGTTTTTAGTCTCTTTTTTGTGTGTGTGCTTTTTTTTCCTATATGTAAATATATATTTGTGTTTATGTCCCAACTGTCGACTTGGGCTTTTACGGATCAATCTACGCTTTTTGGTTGTTTTTGCGTGTGTGTGTATTTACTTTTTTTTTTCTTCTGCTATGGAGGGAAGGGGCCGCCCAGCGTTGAATTTTGCACCACCGCCTCTCTCTCTCTCTCTCTCTCTCTCTCTCCCTTCTATGGCTTTACTCGGCTTTGAGGGCGGGGAACGGCCGCGTCTTCCCTGCAGCTTTTGTGAGGCGACGTGGCGTTGTTTTTTTGTTTTTTCTTTACCTTCGGTTTTTTGAGTTTTGTTGTCCATGCAGGTGAGCTTTTTCTTTTTTTCTTTTTTGCACGTGACATCAGGTGCAAGGCGCTTTGAGCGGAACACATACACCCGATGAGAAGATGAAGAACAGAGTTCGGACCGGTGCTCTTGCTTCGTTCTGGCCAGAGGAAACAACACCAAGTGACTGCAGCAGCGGTGGGTGTGGGGATGGCGGTGAACGCGCGGCCCTTGACGAGATGCCGGGGAGGGGCGTCGGAGCACACGCGCCCGACCCTGTGGATACCTCCATCAAATGGACAGAAATGACGCCGGAGGTATTCAGCCCTGTGGACTGGGCGTCGGAGGAACGACTCGGATTCCCTCCAAGTTCTAATTTGGAGGTACGAGCCGCAGAGATGGACGCAGAGCCTCTGCTTCGGCTAGCAGCGCAGCGCTGTGAGAAGCACTGGCAAAGTTATTCACGAGGTTTGCCGTTGCTGGCTACTGCGAACGCCAAGGTGGAAGAGTTCATGCGGCGGGCTATGTGGCACCACGGCATCCCACAGCACCTGCGCGGCGTGTTGTGGCTAACGATATCTGGTGTTGCGTCGAAGATGGATGAGAATCAGGGTTTCTGTCGAGCACTTTTGAAGCGTCATGGATACATACGTGGCGAGTATGCCGAAGCCATTGAAAAGGATCTTCACCGCACTTTTCCCGAGCATCGATATTTTGCGGACGGTGGGTTGGGGATTCGAAAGGCGCGGAATGTTCTGCATGCTCTGTGCTGGCGCAATCCACTTTTGAACTATTGCCAGTCGTTCAACTATCTTGTTGCTTTTATTCTGTTGGTGGTTGACGATGAGGAAAGCACCTTCTGGCTTATGTGTCACCTACTAGAAAACTTACTGCCCAACGACTTGTACTCGGAATCGCTGATAGGGACAAAGGTGGATCAACTCGTACTTCAGGCTCTTCTCCAACAGCGCCTCCCGCGTCTTGCACAACACTTTTCGGAGGTGCACTTTGAGGTTGAGACGCTCGTGTCGGCGTGGGTCATGGCGCTGTTCATTAATGTCGTTCCTGTGCAGACGCTCTTGCGTGTGTGGGATTGTCTTCTTGCCGGCTGGAGCCACTCTTCTGAGCATTCGTGCGTGCCGCTGGAGGTGGTTTTGGCGGTGTTGAAGTTGCATCAAAATGAACTACTACGTTGCAACGATGCGGGGGATGTTCTCATGTGCTTGGACCACGCCACAAAACGTTTATTTGACGCTGAGAAACTTGTCCGGCTCATAAGGGAGATGCGGCTTTCGCCGTCGAACGTGCGGCAGATGCGTAGAAGTGCAAGGCCGACGGTGGCGGAGGAGCAATATAGGCGCGAGAAGCGTCGACAGGAGCTGCTTGAGAAGAATCATTTAGGATATGAAAAGAAAAATGGCGGAATAATTCAAATGTGGAGGAGTGAGGAGAAAGAAAAGGACGACGTGGTGGTGACAGTGGAGGACCCGCAACCGATTTCCGAAGCGGGAATTTCTGGGCAACACCGAGAATTTGTTCCAGCGCCGCCGGTTGAGTCACGCCAAAAGGAGTACCGTGAACGCTTTGCCGGAACGGTTTTTGTTGAGGTGAATGCGTGGCATCAAATTCAGAAGGGCAAAAGCCGCCTTGGGAATGCGGGGGGGGCAGTGGATGAAGACTCTGAACGCCCCGCACTGTCCGAGTGTGCTGTTGGTACCAGAAGATGGCGGCGAAGGGAGGAAAGTGTCGGGCTTGAGATGGAGAGCATTTGCACGGCGAACAGGGATCAAGAGGAGGCGGAGCATCAGTGATTGTGTGAGAGGGGATGCGGGGAATGCGAGAAGGAAATGTTTGACTTGAAGGACTTTGTCCGGGGTGCGTTTTCCACTCCGCTGGTGCTTGTTTTCTTTTTTGTTGTTCTTGCTTTTGTTTGGTTTTGGGGGAATTGTTAATTTGGCTTTGCTGGAAAATGTTGCATTCCATTTCTTCTACTCCCTAAATTTCTCTCTCGCCTTCATTGAGGCCGCAGTGGCGAGAGTCAGACGCTGGCTGAGCAAGAAGGAAAAATGGCGCGAGGGCGGCGTGAGTCATCAGCGGTGGCGGCATCATCATCTTCTTCTAAATCGCCGCCAGGGAAGAAGGGGGGACGGAAACTGCCCGTTGTCAAGTCAACGTCCATTGCCGCGGCGCTTCGACAGGCCTCTTGCGACTCTAACGAGAGCGCTGTGATTTTGCGTGGCAAGGCGGGGGTGGGCGTCAAAGGGCAGGGTGCATGCACGGCAGATGTGCAGTCCCACCCGCAGGGCAGTCGTTTACGTCTGCAGCAATCGGCACCACAAATCAGCTTTTGGAAGGGTATTTGTCGACCGACCTTGTTGGTGCAGGCGCTTGCTAAAATTGGAACACTGGTAGAGGCGGAGACCGCGTTGCTTTTTGCCAATTCTAGGGTGCGATACCCGTTTTCGGCGCTAACCGTGGAACGAGTGTTGACGGCAATCCAAGCTATTGTTGATGCCGCTGAGCTTTTACGGACGGTTGGAACCGATGGCAACCGTGCCGTATTTTCGAACGACGCAATGTGCCAAAGGTGGAGAGTCATAAGGAAGCTGATTGAACTGGCTGAAGCTGCAGTGCCCATGAAGGTGTCTCTCCTTGCCGGTTCTACCACCGCATGCGAAAGCGTCACGGCGGGTCTGCCCCCAGTTAGCCTTTGGGCCTTGAATGGGCGTTTGAAATGTTTGCAACGTCTTTTGCAGCTGCGTGAGTGTCACTCACGCATTATCTCTACGCTCCGCCTGTGCAAAACGAGAAATGAGGTGTCTGCCGCTCTCTTTGGTCCCTCCATGATTGAGGCTGCCACCATAGAGCCGATGCCTGGCGTGGCCTATTGGCATCAAGGGGAGCAATGTGTGATTAAGGGTTTAATGGCAGAGGTGAATGACATAACTCCCTGCAGTGAATCATGGGGTCCCTCGTCCATCACGCCGCTTCGTGTTGCCGGTGGGTCTTATGTCCTTCACAAGCATTCCCGTTTTGAGACCCTGGCGTGTTTATTGAGAGTTGCAGAGTTTATTGGTCTACCTCCCTTTTTGCGCTCCATCCGCATTGCCGGTGGAAGATCGCGTGTATTTCAACCACAGCCATCCAAAATGAAATCAGTGGATGATGGCTCGCTGCATATTTACAAGGAATCCCTGCCGCTTCTTTTCCCGTCATCGGACGACTTGGACCCGCGACACTTTGAGGCTCCGGCTTCCAACCATGCGCAGCTTGTGCAGGAAGAACTTGTTAAATTGGCGGGTCAGCACTGCTGCTTTGGTGCATTGGTGGGCGAAGCAGACCAAGTGGTGGCTTTGCTCCATGAAAGCGCGGCGTGTCTACAACGGCGAAAGATGGCGTCGTGTGACGAGAGGACGGTGGCGATAAAGGTTGAACGGGAAGAGGACGACGGCGGCGACAGACCCCTGCAGCGGGGGGTGATGGATGCATCAGGCGACGATCCGCTCCGTGCCTACGCCGAATTGCTTCTGCAGGCTGCGAAGGAGGAAAACAGTAAACAGAACCGGGTGCGTTGGCTTTACGGTAACCGTTGGAGCCCTACGATGTCTTACTACGCATTGGTAATTGCCGCGGCGCTACCCCACAAAACCAATGACGTAATGGAGGCAGAGGAAGACAGGGAGGCAGGGCGTAGAGTTGATTTTGTGGCGTCGTATTATGTAGCCGCCGTTTTAGAACTCACACGTTTTTAGTGGCACCCCTAACCTACAAGAGCGTCCCTTTTCTCTATTTCACGTAATGTCAATAACCTTTTCGGCGTCACTCTTTCATGTGTCTTAGAAGCCGTTTGGCCCTCCCCTGCCTATTTTTTGTTATCATTCTTGTTTGGTTTTGCCGTTCTGCATAGTTGTGGGGAAATAGTTCTCCGTGGGTGAATTGGTGTTGAGTGGTGGCGACAGATATAAGGAGGAAGGAAGGGTGGGCAGACGTAGGGGAGGTGCTAATTGATCACCATGTTACGCATCACTTCGGCGTGCCGTGGTGGATACATGATGTACCACCGCAAGTCCATGGGGACGATGAAGTACAGTAAATGGAAGGGTGCACATGGCGGTGTGAGCCATTTCTACGGACGAACCCCGATGGTCGAGGAAGTGAAACGCAATGAACCAATTACTTTGATTGACCGTCGAATCATGCACTACGTGCACCGTTCGCGTCTCCGTCACTTTCAACTATTTCGTTCATATCAGCAAAAGTCAAACGCGACGGAGTGCAAATTGCGTGAGGGCGAGATGCTTCGTCGCCGCTGGCACAGAAAGCTACAGAAGTCATTTATTGCTTTTATGCAGTTCAAGACAATGAAGGTGCTCGAGGATCAGGCCAAGTTGGTGAACACATACGGTCAGGCGGCTGTGAACGCGGCGTTGGGCGATTCCTGGGACGCCGTTTCGGACAAGGAAAAGGACCGCAAGTATGTGACAATTAGGCGTCAGGTGAAGGCATTACCAGTTGTTAGCGTTGTGCCCAAACATGTAGCGACCATGAAGCAGATCCACAATGATCGCTTCAACTATCGCTGGAGGGTGAACTAAGAGGGGCACCTGCAATAACTGATTGCCTGGTATTTATTGCTTCCCTTTGTGGTTGGTGCTTGCGGCTGTGCTCCAGGGAGTGGATTATACATGTGCGTATGCATTTTTCTCCCACGCCCCGCTTCCACACTGAGATCAACGGACTGCAATACCCTTTTTCTCAAGAATGCGGCGCTTCTTGTTGTTGTTGTTGTTGTTGTTTTTTGTCTTTTTGCGTTTGGTGGCGCAGTGGTGGGGATGCGGGTTTCGTCTTTTTTGTCCCGGCGTGGTGGGATGGCGGGCCACCAGCTAGACACAGAAATTGCCCTGTCGATGCGTTTTATTCAGCAAAATGGAGTGGGGGGATGGTACCTTTTCTGTATACTTGCGTAAATGCCTTTCAGTTTCTTTTTTTTTTTTTTTTTTGGAAAACAAAACAACAAAAAAATGCCTTGTTCTTCTCTGTGAATGACGGGTGAAGCATTTAGGGGAATAAACTAAAAGGTCTCTGATTGGCAACCTGGCTCCCATGCATAAAGAAAGCTCATCGTCGTTCTCCGCAGAGGAGGTCGTTGCGCCTGGAAAATCCCCTCAGTACATGCAGCTGCCCTCGCCAGTGTACTTTGTGCGGTGGGTGGACGAGCGCCACGCAATTATTGGCGCTGGTGGGGGCGGTAGGCGTTTTGGGATGGCGAATCTTCTCGCGATTATTTCAGTAGACTCTACGCAAGGGCCGTGCGGTACTTCTTCCAGTGGGAAGCAGCAACAACGGACACCGAAGAAGGAGCCACTGTCTCCCACAATTCCCTGGAATTTTGTCGCGGCCATTGACATGGAGGGAAACATCCCATGGTGTGCTTCCACCTTTTTGATTTGTACGGACACGACACAACTTGCTCGTGGCGTGGTGGGGTACATTGCGGTGAGTCACATCACATGCTTCACACTCGTTGAGGTGTATGAATGCTGCAAGGTAAACACACTTGCAATGCGAAGGCTCGCATGCATCGAGGTCCCAGCGGATGCAAAGAACCCTGACAAGAAGCCCATTGCTCTGGTGCAGGGCGCCGTAGTTGTTGCACACGACGAAGGCGGTGTGTATGTCTACGGATTACACTCCCTTCTGCAACGCGCGCATTCGACCGAGGAAGAAAAAACAGTACGAAGAAAAGTAGAGGAGGCGGAGGCGGAGGCTCAGAACGTGAGTCCCTCTTCATCTGCCAGCGGTGAAGCAAAAGATGCCGTCTTCGAGACACCGCGAATATTACAGGAGGCAGAACCCCTTGCTGTTTGGCCGCTACCGGCGCGTCTGAACGATCTTCATGCTAACCGATTCTTTGTGCCTAAAAGAAAACCGGGAATAGAAAGGTCGAGGAAGCGAAATCACTCGAATCACATGCTCATTGTAGCTCTAGTTCAGGACAAGACACTTCGAATTACCACAATGAAGCTTCCTCGGAGACATAAAACGATTTACAAGGAGGAGAATGGAGATATAAAAGAGGGGAAAGCTACCACTTGTCTTGTAGATACGTGTATTTTTACCGGAAAGGACTGTCGCATTCCCTTCTCGCTCATGAAATCTTCTATGCGACTGGTGCAAGTATTTGGGGCGGAAGATGTGGCTCCATCCAAGGCAGAGCTGATTTGGTTAAAAGCACGCCGTCTACACCGGGAAACGGGTGTCCGAGGCCTAATGCCCATAGCGAGTTTTATTGTTGTGGTCTATGATGTGTTGGGAAATCAGTCTTACATGTTGACGGCTCGAGTGTCAAGCACGGCCAGTACTCGCAATGGAGATTTCTTTTCAAAGGATTCTGAGCCGGAGAGCAATGCCGGAAAGAAGCCCTCCAATCGGCTTGCACTCCAGGTGTGCTTTGCCCCTCAGCCTTCACCTCTGGTAAAGGAAGGCATTACTTCAATTAGCGCATGCCATTACCGCAGGCCTTGCAATGATTCTTACGCCGTCAGTGGCGAAGGCGTTGGCACCGTCGTTCCTTCCTACTGGCTGGCCGGAACAGTGGAGGGCACTCTCGCATTTATTGTCCACGCCGGTGATGGCACATTTCAGACCGTGTTGATTCGACCGTCCAAAAACAAGAGAGAAGCCAGACAATTTCCGGCTTTACACCGGGAGCCCATTTCTTGCGTGGCCGTTTCACAAATGAACGATGTTTTAACAACGGATATTGCGCAGAACGTTGTTGTGTCGACGCTACCGTTTTTTGAAGAGCCGCAATTTGCTTCATCGCTGTGCGAAAAGAGAAAAAGCGTCACTTCTCGTATGCCATGTCGCGAGGGCAGGATGAATTTTTCCGTCGATGACGACAAGGCTGTTGCCTGTGCAGGAGGCGATGCAATAACTGCGGTGGCGGATCCCACGTTGTTTGCTGGCGACGGGAAGGAAATATTTGTGCGGCCAAAGTGTGTGGCTCTTTCACTTTTTCCACCAAAACAGGGGTCCACATCGTCGCTGTTGCCCTTCCTTGCTTTGGCCACTTCGTTTAGCGTTCGGCTGTTGGTGGCTGTGGTGATTGTACCGTCCATTGCCATGCTGATAGCGTACTGGTTTTCGTAGGGGGCTCTGGGACATTGCGCCTGTACCGGGGCACAGGTTGTTTTTAGGGCCTCACGGCAAAATGCTAACTGCAGTGTAATGAGCGGTTATTTTCTAAGAAGGACTTGACTGCAGTTGAAGAAGCACCACTACGGCTGTCCTGTTTGAGCAATAAGTAAGGGATGAGCATCCCAATGCTGTTGTGTGTCGCAACAATTTCTCTATTTATTTATCTTCTTTTTTTTTTTTTTCCTTCTTATTGCCCTTTGCTTTTTTTTTTGTTTGTTTTGTGTTGTTGTTGTTTTTGTTGGTATAGCTTCTCTGCAGCCATAATATTGCATCAGACTAATTGTGGATTGAAAAGAGCCAAAAAAAATAATAATAATAATAATAATCAACAACGAAAAATAAAATAAAAAAGTCTTTTAACGATGGAATACCGCATCAATGAACTTGGCCGTTTCCGGATTCTTCTTGGCGGCCTTGCTGCTTCCCTCTGCATGTCGGTGATTTACGGCTTTAATCTTCTCAGCAATCATATTCAGAATGAATTTGACCTCAACGCGAACGACTTGACGACCATAACAACCGTTGGCATTGTTGTTGGGCTAGTGACGTTCCCCGGAGGCATACTGCTGGACTACGCGGGGCCGAAGTGGGTACTCGCCATCTCCACCGTTACTTGTTCACTGGGCGCTCTTCTCTTTGGGCTTACATTTCAAGGAGTCATCGCCGCCTCTGTGTTGCGTTTTTCGGTCTTCTGTGCGTTTTTGAACTTTGGGTGCTTCTGGTTTGACACTGGATCACTGATGGCAGTGCTCGGGAGCTTTCCGCTGACGAGGGGTCCTGTGGTGGCGCTGATGAAGACATATGGTGGTATCGGCTCCTCTGTGCTTGCTGTGCTTAACTACAGCTTCTTTTATGAGAAGTATGCGGCCTACATGTACTTCTTGGCAATTACTGTGGTGTTTCTTGGTGGCTTTTCGATAATTTTTGTTCAATTCCCACCGTATCACATTGTCGATCGCGAGAAGAAAACATTGCCGCTTGAGATCCAGGAGCGACGAAAGCTTATTGAGCCTTATTACCTGCAACAGCGTCCACCGATACAGCGATTTGTTGTTGGTTGCATCGTCGTTATTTCCCTTATTATATACCTGGTGACGCAGTCACTATGCTTGGCCTACGTGAGCGGTATCTCTAAAAATACTCGCATCGGCATCACCATTGGGGCGATTATTCTTTTATTCTCGTTGTCGGTGATTGTAGCGCCCTTTCGGTTTCTTGGTGGCATGTCAAAACCGCCGAACGAGGAACTTCCGCCGCTGCCGGATGAATTGGCAGAAACGGTGCAGCTATCCTCGACAGAAGCAGCGGATAGGGCTGTGAAGGAGACGCATGTTCCGAGCGACATTGACCCGCAGTATCAGGGGACTTTCTGGGAGGACCTGAAGACACCGGACCTGTGGATGATGTGGTGGAACACTTTCGTCACTTGGAGCTGTGCACTTGTCATTTCTTTCAACAGTGCCCAGATATACCGTGCATTAAACGATAATGAATACGACACCGCCACAAATTCCATGTACTCGGCTATCATTGGTATCGGGAACGCCCTGGG